TGCAGTGCCAGCGGCTGGGTGAGGCACCGCACGAGCACCCGGGCTTCTGTGGGCATACGCTCACTCTGACAGCTGCAAACTGCTGAAACGCCCTGCTTTTTGCAGAGGCAGCCCACAATGTCCCTCCAAGGGCCACCACAGGGGAGAGGGAGGGCCGTGGAGCCGAGGGGACAGGGATTTTGCTTGTCATTGCTTTCCAGTTGTGGCGTGGCGTGGCGTGGCGTGGGGGACGCGGCGGTGAGGCATTGCAAACCCCCGGCCGGATTCGCGCCTGTGCGCAGCTGGTGAAGCTGGAGCGATGAATCGAGTCCCTGTGTATTTCTGTACTAAGTCAGCTTTGGGAAATGTCATTGCTCATCCGCCTGCCCGGCCAGCGAGGGGGTGGAGGGCGGCGCTTCAGACCCTTGTCCTCATCCAAGGGCAGCTGAGTGGGTTTGTGTGCTGGGATGCTGTGTCCTGTGATGGCTCAGCGAGCTGGCTGAGCCACAGGCAGGTCGGGGCCAGGCTGCCAGCCCGACGTGTCTCTGCTCTGCCTGCGTTCCCACTGCCTCAGTGAGCCGGGGGCTTCGGCAGTCACCCGTGCTGGGGTCAGATCCCCAGAAAACGTGCCTGGTGGAGGGATGGGCATCAGGCTGGTGTTCGGGCGGTGCAGCTGGCATGGGAGCTGTGCCCTGCGCTGAGCCGGAGTCTTCCTCCTTGGCCAGGCTGGGCTGTGCCAGCAGCGAGGGTCCGAATGCTGCTCTGGGCCCCCTCTGCTCATCCTGGTTGGACACCCCGGGGGGCCATCAGCACACGCCAGGCTGGGGACAGCACTGTCCCCATCTCCCATCAGCAGCAGCATCTGCCTCTGGCTGCCCCGCCTGCTCCGCGCCCGCGGCGAGGGCTGGGTGCTGTGGCTGATGCCAGGGGGTTGTTTGCCGCGCCAGGTCCTGCCGCCCCCACGTGCGTGCAAAGCCGTGGTTTCATGGGGGAGACATTGTGTGCAGGCTTTGCATCCCCACGCCGTGCCGGCAGCGGTGCTCCTGCCTCCCCGGCGCTGCCGGCTCTGCTCTGCCGGGAGGTTTGGAGGGAAGGGCTGAGGATGGGTATTGCTGCACGAGTCTCCAGGGCTGATAATTATTTCTGGGGAAAAGATGCTGTGTTCTGACTTAAACGCTGACATGGGACTCTGAACATGTGTAATCTGGCTGACAGATGGCAAGTCATAGAGGTGTGATTTATGATACAGCACAGTAGCTGAACAACCTTCTCTGGTTGTCAGGAGACAATTCTTCCCAGCGCTGTGGTTGATGTTTCAATTGATGGTTTTCCCCGCGTGTCCCCTCAGCTCCTCGGCGGTGTGCAGGGACCGCCGGGGAGCCTTGGCAGGTGCCGACGCGGCAGGCTGGGTCCGCCAAGCCCCAGCAGCACCGATGCTGAGCTGCTGCAGAGGTGCTGCTTCTTATGGCGGGGTGGGCAGGTCACCCCAGATCCTGCCCGGGCTGGACCATGAGCACTCCCATGCAGCGGGCAGGGCTGGGGGAGCGGTGCTGGCCTTGTCCCCGTCCCATGGCTGGGATGAAGCTGGCTCAAGGCAGCGGTGGCTCCTTGGGGCTGCCTGTTCCCCAGACTGGCACTTGTGGTGCCGAGCGTGCTGTTACTGATGGGAGACGGCACGAAAGTCTTGCCCATCAGTGAAGTGCACAAGAGGACAGATGCCGACAGCCATAGGGAACCTGCCTTACTCACACGGCCTCTCTGTGCCTCAGTTTCCCTGCTTCTACCTTAAGATCCCTAACGCTGATCTTTCTTAAGTGACGGGGGCATCTATTAGTGTTTGGAAAGCACTTGGGAAGTAAAAGTGTGGTCCCAGCAACACCCTGCTCCCCGTGTTAGAGGCTCACTGCTGCTGGCACCCGCAGAGCGCAGACCCCAGGCACAACGCCCAGCATGGCTGCGGGAGCACCCTGACCCTGGGAGCATCCCGACCCTGGGAGCATCCCGACCCTGGGAGCATCCCCGCGCCGGGAGCATCCCGATCCCGGGGGAGCGGAGCAGCCCCAGCACGAGGAGCTCGGGGAAGCTGACCCACAAGCAGGGCCTCGGTGGGGTGAGGGGAGCGGGGCAGAGCATGCTGCCGGCGGCGGGCTGCGTTTGCCTGCGTGCAGCCGCGGCAGAGCAGGTATGATTCATTCCCTCTTCTGCAGTACAGTTTATGTAAAGCAGCACTGTATAAATAGCCAGATGATACTGTAATGTGCTCCTGGCTTTCTAATTAGCGATGCTTCTGCTGGAGCTTTTGGGTCCAGCAGAGGTGAGAGGAGGCCGTTTCGTACCAGGCTGAGAGAAGCTGGATGAGCTTCTGACAGCTCTCGAGGAGGAGGTGCTGGCCCGTCAGAGCAGTCGCAGCCATCTCCCTTAACCTGGCTGTGAGCAGTTGGAGGTGGTGGGTGAGCTCCTCTGTGTCTGGGCAGCTGCTAGGCTGGAAGGTCGGTCTAGAGGGTCAAAGCAGCACCCAAAATCTCAAGATTCTTGGTCACCTTCTGGCTTGCGTGATGCCATGCCATGGGGGGAGTGACGGCGAGGCCGCGTGCCCCCGAGCACCGAGGTGGCTTCTCCAGCCCCACTGGCACACCTCGCATGGGCCGTCCCTACCCCAGGGACTTACAACGCTCCTTCATGTCGAGCCCTTTCGGCACCTCACTCTTTTCCCCTGCCAGCTCTTGGCGATGCTGTTGGCTCTGTCCAGTGGGTGCTCCTTCCCTGCTCGGGGCAGGTGGATGCGTCCAGGTGAACCTCCTTGGTGTGTAATTGTCCCGGTCGGGCTGATCGCAAGAGGCATGTACCAGCACGACAGAGGCACTTGTTTGTCGCGGGGGTCAGCTGCCTTCTTGCATCCATGCAGGTGGTTTGGGACTTCCCAGCCCCCCATCCCTGCTGGGGACCAGTTTGGGGGGGGCGGCTGTAATGGTGCAGGGAGCGTGGTGGGGATGGGGTGAGCATAGCAAACAGGACAGCGTTCTCCAGGCAGTCCCCAAATCTGAGGAGATCAACATCCCCAGCGTCCTGGCAGCTGGGGATGGAGCCCGCACCCCTGCAGGGTAGCAGGAGCCTCTCCTGGGGAGGTGGAAGGCTGGGCGGTGTTAGGACGGCCGCAGTGGCAACAGTCCAGTGCCACCAAGGAGGTGCCATAGGAAGCCAGCAGCGCCCATTCCCACCACCCAGCCCCATCCCTGGGTCAGCCCCGAGCCGCGCTCGCCCCGGGGTCCACACCACACTGGGGGCTGCTGAGGAGCATCAGCGGTCAGCGCCCATGCCCCTAAATTGGGATCTTATTCATTACGGCCGAGCTTGGACACCAGATCAAAGCAGGGGCGGGGTGGCGGGGATGGTGTTACTGCAGGGCTCTGCCCGCTGGGCTTTCACGAGGCGCCTGGATCGCTTCTCTTCGAACGCCTCTTCCTCCAGCTGTGAGCGGGGGAAAGCTGGGGCTTGGGTTTCTTGTTGGGTTTCTTTTAAGGCAAACCTCATCCTTTACATCAAAGTAGTATTTCTTCTCAAGAATGTAAAGAATGACCCTGGAAGGTCTGAGTGGCTCTCTCCCGGCGGTGATCGGAGAGACGAGAGCCTTCTCCAGAAAGCTGTCTCCACCCTGTCCCCAGCAACAGCAATTCATAAGCTGAAAAATAAATCAATAACCAGAGTTAATGAATTGAAGATGTCTGTGTTTAAAATGTATCAGGAAAAAAACTGTTAGCTGGTCGTGGTTGGCTTAATTATTGTGAGGGAAGGCAGGGAGCTCTCGTTTCTGAGAAATACCACCTTCTTTTCTTTCTTTTTATGGAGATATTTTGTTTGGTTGAAGCCGGTCAGGACTCGAGAGGAGAGGAGGATTGGCTTTAGCAACATGTGTAGGTTCAAGGTCTCCCCCCAGGTCTGTCCCTCATCCCCCGGGACCTCTGTCAAATCGCTCCTGTCCCCTTCCCTGCCCCGCCGGGGCTGGCTGAGCAGTGGGAGCGGGCGGTGCTGGCGCAGGACTGCAGGAGGAGAGGCAGCGGCCGTGCCGGCGTGCGCGGCAGGGCTGGCAGACAGCACCAGTGCCACCAGTCTGGTCGTGTGCCCAAGTTGGGGTGTCCCAGCTCCCCAGGCTGCTACTCCCTTGCTCCCACTTCTGCTCCCAGTGAATTGGCAGCAGGGACAGGTTGTGGCACCGTGTTCGGCTGCAAGCCAGGGGTGCCAGCCCTCGGCACAGCGGGCACCAGGGTCTCTGTGTGCCATGGACTCAGAGATGGTGTGGTTGTGCCTCGGGACAGCAGTTCTTTTCTGGAGAGAGCCGGGGTAGAGTGGAGTGTGTGGCATGGCCCCAGAGCCCGGGGATGCCTTTCTCCCTGGTCCCAGGAGCTGGGAGTGATGCTGGAGCATCGTGCCCGTCAGGAAGGGGCTTTGTCGGCACAGATGGGTCCTGCAGCTGAACCCGTTTGCTCACAGGTGTTTCTGTTTCCTCCTCTGAAACATCTCCAATGTGGGCTGATTTCCACGGCAGCCCTCAAGAGGAAAGCCGTCTCGGTGTTTGAGAGCCCCAGCTGGGAGTCCCAAGGGGCTCTGGGGTTTCTCTGAAGGAGCGTGCGGCCATGGCAGAGGTCTGCTTTGCTTCTCTCCACCAATGCTTCCCACTGGCTGTCGCCAGTTGGCATTGGGGCAGGAGCATATGACCTAGGGAGGTGATTTTGCTGCAGCAGGGAGCAGGACCCAGCACTAAGTCAGCCTGCCAAGCTCGCAGCTTCAGTTTTGCTAACAGCACACCATGGACCCGTGCTGGTCCTGGCTTTGCAAGCGATGCTAAACCTGCTACTGCTCCCCTTCTTCCCCCCGAGGCCGGTGCCGCCCCATCCCGGTGCTGCTGACCCTCGGGGAGCCCCCTCCTTTCAGCTCCGAGCATCACCCGGCTTTGTGCCATGGACCTGCCGCTGGGAGCCGGGACGCTTCAGTGACATTAACGCCTTTCCTCTCCCCTTCCCCAGGTCGGAAAGCAGCCTCTCTAGGTTTGCCCACCGCTTGTCGGTTAAGCAGAAGCAGGAGAAGAGAAGGAAAGCTGAGTATGCCTCGGCCGAGCTGTCTGCCTTCCGGCCCAGGTCTCTGAGCATTGAATGGTAAGAGCTGCAGGGCAGGGCTGGGGGACAGGAGCTCCTGCCTCTCCAGTCCCCCTCCTGTCCCCTGTCCCCACCGCCGCCACTCTGTCCCTGTCCAAGCAACGTCCCATGGGACAGCACCCCTTCAAACCCCTCCATCCGCTGCAGAAACTTCCCCAGGGTATAGAGCCAAAACAGCCCCCCTCGCCCCAGCGCAGGGAGCAGGGGGGAGCCTGGGGCGGCTCCTTCCTTGGGGCCATGGGGGCATTTTGGGGCTCGTGTGGGACGCAAACATGCGTGTCTGCTGGGCACGTGAACGCACAACCGCTGGCAGCCCCCGCCGCTGGCTGCTCCTCTCCTCTCCCCTTCCCTCCCCACCCTGCACTGCCCGATGCACCTCTGTTGGATAAACCAGAGCCGAGCGCCGTGGCGGGACGGCCGTACCTGGCATGGGGGCACTGGGAGCCGCAGGGGCTCCCCACCGGCGCCGTGCCCAGGGTGAGTGGGGTGAGAGTACGGGGCTGCCCCAGCACGAGCCACCCTGCGGGGCGGCCCCGTTTGCCCGCCCCGGAGGGATGCAGTGCTCCCTTCTTCCCCAACACTGCAGTGCCCGTGGGGCCCCTCGTGCCGAGCACAGGTCTCAAACTGCAGTCCCTGCTCGAGCAGGGAGTCATTTATCCCGGGTTTCTAAGCTCTGATGCAACAGCCTTGGAAGCAGATCACAGTCAACCCTCCCAGCGTTAGAGGTGACCTGCTAAGGATATTTAAAAGAACTGGAAATTGCATTGCTTTCTGCTTCCTTAGATGGATAAAGGAGGATAAAACTTAAAAAAAAAAAAAAGTAAAAAATAAATGCTTAGAAATTGCAAGAATGTCGAGTTTGGTTTTCGTTTTCCCTGCTTTTTTTGGAGATCTTTCTGGCATTTATTGTATGTTCTAACACTTCAGTGTGAGGTTGTGGAGTCCTCCTCAAAGGCTTCCTCTATCTGTGAGGTTAGTTAGGCATCAAAGCTAACTAGGTATTAATGAGGGCAGACAAAGAATTTAAGCTATTTGGTGACAGATTGCTTTCTTCTCCAGTTGCACAACTTTCTTCCCTTTGCTGAAACGATGTCATTGGGAAAGCTGTTCTGCAATTACTATGAATCTTCCAGATAGACAACTATGTGAATTTGTAATATGCCACATAGGAAAAGAAGCAAAGAACTCATTAAAAACAATCAGAGCTTCTCTTTATTCATAATAAAGAAGCAAGAGAAGTCAGTAAATCTCTTCTCTCCCTTTAAATGTCTATTTGAAGCCCCCAGATCCCTTTTTAGCCCTGCTGTGTCAAGGTATATTTGTGGTACATTTTCACTCGCTCTGTAGCATCTTCCTGGGGGAAACCATCTGTCCTGTATCAGTTTGCAAAGCACCTTGTACAGCAACGACACCGCAGCAGTGGGAGATGATGCTATTTTATGGGGTTTTTGTAAGGCAGCTTGGAAATGAGGTCTCGGTGAGGAGGAATCGCCTTTGCCTTTGGTTTGCCATGTGCCATCGTGTTGGAGATTGAGGCTGGAAAGCGTGAGGCCTGAAAGAGAAGGATGTGCTGCCACCGCTCCTGCAGGGACATAGGCATGGCTGGTCTGGATCTGCCGGCAGGGGGATAACTGCCCTGCGGCCGTGGGTTTTACCCGTGGCTGGAGACATCCTGAGCCGGATCAGACGTCCGCCCTGGCAGCCGGGCACGGGTGGGCCGTGGCGCTGGGACTCGGGTGCTGGGGCTCGGTGGCACTCTGCGGCAGGACACAGCAGAGGAGTGACCCAGGGGGATCGCGGTGGCGAGGAGCTGGGTGGGCAGCGCAGGGCGAGGACCCTGCCCGCCGCCTGCTCCCCGAGCATCTCGGTGTGCTTGCCAGTCCTCTCCCCGCTGCCGTGGTTAAGCAGACACCCCAGGAGCTGTGCCAGCTGTGTTGTTGCGGGGCAGGAATTTAACTGGCTTTCACGTGCACGCAGCCAAATTCCCAAAGAGCAGCTGGCGGCACCTGCACACGACGCACAGAGCGCTGCCTCCCTGGCAGGACAGGCACGCTGCAGGCAGGTTTTCACGGGTGACAGCAGTGTGTGTGCCCGGTCCACACGCACATGCTTGCCCTCGGGGAGGCACTTGGAAGCTTTTCGCATGCAAGCACCAGGCTCCTCTGCAGCTGCGTCCTGCAAAGGGTGCACCAGGCCTGTTCCCTGGGGTGACTGTATGTCTTCAGGGCTCCGTGAGCATCGTAGCAGGACCAGCATCCTCGGTTAGTCGCTCCAAACCGTCGTGCTGACACAGGGGAAGGGCCTTCGGAGCCACGGCTGTTGGTGCCCCTGCTTGCCCTGTGCTTTGCACGGGAGGTCCTGGGCTGCAGGCAAGGCTGCTGGGCGCTGTGGCCGATGGGAAGCGTGGCTCCTGCCCTTGCAGATCTACAGATGCCTAATTTGGCTTCCAGAGCAAATATCTACATGCATCTAAATCTGTATGTATTTATGAGCTTAACCCAAAGTCACCACTGCATCGTTTTACCTGCCTCTGTGCAGAGGGTGGACATCCACGCTGTCTGTGGTGGGGGTTCAGCTCATCCCACGCGGGCAGGAGGGGGATGGAAAAGCGATGGACCATGTTTTCCCAAATTAGCGGCTTCTGAGAATCCTGCCCATCTTAATCCCAAGGCTTGAAGGCAAGGAAGGGCTTCTGGACCTGCTGTTACCTGTTGCCAAGGAGGAGGTAGAGATTATAAGCACAACATCATCAATGCCTGTTGCTTTGAAAAGCTGGGTGTCAGTCTGGTGGAGGGATGAGCGTTTTCTGCCTCAGATTCCTACCAAAACACCATCAGTCCAATGCTTCGTGTCTCTGCCATAGTGGAAAGCATCCTTACCTCTCATCCCTACGCAGGGCAAGATGAGCCAGTTTTCCATCATTCCCAGTTGTTCCGGTGCTCAGGTAGGACTGGATGGAGCCGAGGTAGAAGAGAAGGAGCTGTACAGCATCACAGTGTCTGCGTGACACCGTGTCCCCCACGCTGAGCACTGCCAGGTAGGATGGGGACAACAGATCCCTTCATCTCCCCTTGGCCCTTCTCCCTGTCCCTGGGGCCACCTGGAAGCCCTGCAGGGCAGGGTCCCTCGGTGATGGCGGCTCTCGGGGCCAGGAGATGCAGTTATTTGCTGCCACAATAAATATGGTGTTGAATGTCCCACACTGCCTACCCAAAAGTGCAGGGATGCTCCTGTCGCAGGTCTCACAGTCCATGTGTCCGTCGGAGCACATCTCCCCGGCTTGCCGGGTGGGACGCGCTCACGGGTCGCGTTTCTCCCCGGGGAACAAGGCAGGCTTTATTTGCACGACACGTGTTTATGTGCTGCACTGGGCAAGCGGAGCGCGGTCCTGCTCCCGAGCGCGGCCGTCAGCAAGCGAAGCCTCGTTAGTTCCACTTATTAAAAAAAAATTGCTGGGGGAGAGGGAGAGAAGGCAGGGAAAAAGTGAAGTATTGAGAAAACACTTCTTTCATTCATATGTTGTTTACTGAAATAAATACTTCATTATTAGGCTTTTTTTTGGCTATTTTTTTTAAAAGCCAACACCACAAAGTCCCCAGTGTTCGGGCCCGTGAATGTGCCGTATCACCTCAGCCCGTTGCTCCCGCGAGCCGGTGTCTTGCTGCCGGGAGGTGCTCGGAGAGAAGCACCACAGGGAGCGGGGCAGCGCGAGGCTTTCCCAAGCTTGGGGAGGAACTGGGGGGCTACTCCTGCCAGGTTTTATTTAGCTTTGCCGATGCCTTTCTCCTCCTCTTTGCTGGACAGTGCATGCTGTGGCTCGCGGGGCACCAAGGCAGCTTGAGCTCCAAATGAGGCAAAAACTGGCAATTGAGGCAAGGAAGGACTTTGGGTCCGATTTATTAAAGCCCTGCTTTCTACTAATTTAGCTCCAAAGCCTAAATAGCACGAAGGCGTGCAAGACAAAAACCCTCTTTATCTGAAGCTCACCACCTTCTGCTGTTGGAGTGAAGACATCGAAAGCTGGCGGCTCCCGTGGAGACCTCCCACTGTCCCTACAGCAACCCCAAAACGCCATCAATCCCTCTTCTCCCCCCTTAGGGTGAATCGAGGCAAAGAGAGCCTCCTCTCCTCTTGTGCGTGTCACCTGGGCAATGATCCCCGTTTATCTTTCCTGTTAAGCGAGTCGTAATCCAATAAAAGGGCTGCAATCTGCTGGTTCCCTCTTGCCTGCGCGGAGCCTCTGTCCCGCTCTCGCATCCTCCCAGCTCTGGTGCTCATCAGTTCCAGCCCCGGCAGGTTTGTACTCCTGGCATCCTTTTGTCTCTTCCTTTTTCTTTCCCACCTCTTGGTCTCGTTTTCCTTCTTCCATTTGTTCCTCTGCTTGTCCTCCTCCCCACGCTCTTTTTCCCATACTCACCTCTTGTTGTCCACCCTGATTTTCCTCTCTATTTTCTTCTTCGTGGTTATTTACTTCTACTTGCTGCCTTTTCTATTTGAGGTCCTCAAGTTTTTCATCTCGGACAGCCTCCCTGCGATCCGTGGTCAGAATAGCCTATTCCCATGGTGGCTCAGGAAAAATGCAGCGCATTCCTCGCTTTCCCCATCCCCTTATCTCGGTTCTGCTCGTTGGCTGCCCACCACGAGCCGTTAAAGCAACGCTGGCAGGAGCGTGTTGTCTGGTGGTTAGAGGCAGCCAGCCGGCTCGGGTTCAGTCCTGCCTGCGTCTTGTTTTGCTGCCTGACCCCTGGCACGTTGCTGAATCGCAGCTCCTCGCTTCCCCTCTCCGCAGAGGGGGATGCGCAGAGACCTGCCTGCTCAGCGGCTCCGAGCGCAGACCGTGCCCACCTGGGTGGGAAGGTGCGGAGTGGTTTTCCTGTGATGTCCCAGCACTGGTGCTGAGCGTAATGGCTGGCGGGCATCCCCCTGCCGTGGGGCCGCGGTGCCACGAGGACAGGAGCTGCAGCCGCCGGGCACAGGAACCGCGCTGGCACCATCGGGCT